AAGAGGCCAGATGTAGAGTATGTGTACCACTTTTTAGGGATTTGCCGGTGAGTTTTCTTGACTCGTTAGCGTCAATTTGTTTGTGACAATGATGATGTCCGTCATGTGACGGACGAAAGTTTAGCACCTTTTCACCGGAATCGAAAAAGATTTCCTAGGAGACAGCGTCAGCATGAATCTTTAAGGTAGAGCCAATCGACAGCTGGTCGTCTTCTGGTGGAACCGACCTTCGAATCTCTTCACCCCCAACACTTTCACTCGAAATGGAAGTAAGCTTAACAATTATGAAATAGGAGATTCCTCGGAACCAAACTTTTTTTCGTATATAATGGAAGCTAATCTGGCAGAGGACTTTGGACAAGGTGCATCCTAATAAGTCGCCCCAACAACAAGACCATGTTGAGAAAACGAGGTGAACCCACGTCGAAAGTTCTGTCCTTCTTTCTTGAGGCGTCTGAGTAGAACTCTCGAGCGTCTCTTTTAGACGTCGAGGTACAGATCCGTTATGCATCGTCGAGGCTGAAGGAGGTTGTTGTGCGTCTACGTTGCCCTTTCAAGAGGAAGATGTGCCACGTCAAAATGCACTCTCTTTTCTTGCTGCCTTTTTACAGACAACCTCGCCTCAAAGGCGATTGCGACGGCGACGGCGACGTCGACGGCAATGGCAACGGCAACGTCGACGGCGGAGCTTTGCGCCTTTCGATGCACGACGAGGTGGCCGTTCGTCTGAGGAATGGCCAAAGTCTCGCCAACTTGGCGGCGAGTTGGCTACAGCTCACTAACCGCGCCAGACAGACACGTTTTGTGCCGCCGGCTGAGGTGTTGGCCAAGATCCGACCGACAGATCCCGACCTGTCGGGCGCATCGGCCCTTTGGTTCGTCTCCACGGAACACCTTCTGGCCTACCTGCCCTGTTCCACGTTGGTTGCCACCTCGCTTTCAGGTGAACTCTTTTGTCGTTTGTTAGTCTTGTTTCAGACTCGGTTGCTAGGGCCGCCTAGGGGGTTCTCTTGTCGCTTGGACGGAGGGTCGAGTCGCCGCAACCACTTCGACAAACCTCGAAAAGCCAAGACTTGGCTGGCCCGACTTGAGCCGATTCGCCGCATTCCGGAATGCAGCTCACCGTCGACATGGTCCTCGAAACAGACTCGGACGACTGTCCACGTGACAGGCGCGACTGTAGATTAGAGACAAGCAAATACAGCCAACATGCTCACATGCACATGCACGAATGCACACACATTCACAGAGGGCCCTCTGGCACTGCCCTTTTGACCCGGGCTCATGGACCTTTTCCTCTCCGTTACCCGTTACCCGTTACCTGTTGTCAGTATTAGCGTAGCATGAGTGCATCAGTGCTTCCATTTCAGACCGGGTCTCGAAGACTCCGCTCAAAGGTTGATGTTGTCCCACCCCTTTTGCACTTGTACATACAGAATCTGTAAGTATTCGCCTTTATCGGGCCAAAGTAAATAGAGTGAAAATAACTGATATCTCTGTTTTACCGGCACTTACGAAAAAAGTAATGTCGACGACTGCTATAGCAAATATAAGTTTGCTTCATCGACAACTCCCCACCAAAGAATGTGATACAGAAAATGTATGACACTGCTTGAAATTCACACCTGATCTGCCACCCGAGGGCGCCTGTGGCAATGTGGCCGAGTGGTTATATGTCCCACTGCCATGGTTCGAGTCCCGCTGGGGGTGCTGATAAGACCTGCTTTTGGGAAAGCAGGGCCATGTGAAATTGGACGAAAAACATCAGCTCTAGTCAAATGATTGTGGGACACATTCAATAATCACACCTCTACCACCCTAAACGATATAGGATGATAACAACTCATATGGCTTCATTTTCACAACTTGGTCGAAGGGTCAGGGAGGCCTTGTGTCACCTGCCTTAATTTTCGTGATTTCCACCCTCAGACCATTGGCATGATACATTCCAAAACGTTTCTCCGGCATTTTCAGTGAGAGGTGCCAGCTTCGGGACATGGTGACAACGTGTCAAATTGACAAGTGAAGACACTCCCCTCGGTTTTCGACACTATAACCAGATCATGTATGCGAGATATATTCAACCTACCTCGTTCAAGGTGGAAAGACGACTGTTGGCTTGAATTTGGTTGTGACGATGATGATGTTTCTTCATATGACGGACGAAAGCTTAGCACCTTTTCACCGGAATCGAACGAGATTACATTTCGGAGACAGCGTCAGCATGAATGTTCCAGTAAGGTCAATCGTCAGCTGGTCAAGAGGAATCCAATCTTCGAATCTCTCTTCACCCAACACTTTCACTCGAAATGGAAGTAAGCTCAACACTGTTAGCTCAATTTACTTACGGTGCTACGAGTAGACATTACTTTTCATTTGGATTTCACTCGTAGACGAAAAATAATTGACG